TCGACCAAGTCTACATCCACTACCATAGCTCCTCACCAAGAATTTTCCAACAAATTCACTAATTTGTTCTGTTTTTTACAGGATCAAGAGTAACCTTTGCAACTTCCTAGTTTTTCACAGGCTAAACTAAAACTTTTTCCTAGCTTTTAATAGGCTCAGCTAGAACCAAAACCTCTTTATAATGAAAGGAAAATGTAAACAAGAAAACCTCTCTAAGGTAGGTGTTTACAAGAATTAAGCTCACAAGAACAAAATATTTACAAGAGAAAGATGAAATAAGATTGAAAAACTCTTCTCTTGTGTTTGATTGCTTAGATAGTTGTTTTATTACTTCTTCAAGTGTCCTCGGCTTGTTTTTATAGCTTCAAATGAGTTTGAAGTCATATCTAGCCGTTGGGTATGTTTTGGAGCCGTTGAGGATTAATTTTCTGCAAAATAAGGCTGTCCAGAACTAGAAGTATCGGTACTACCTTTGTTAATTTCAAATTTAACTAGCCGTTGCTAGCCGTTGGAGCCTTATAGTATCGATACTGCCTAAGTGGTATCGTTACTACTTTGCACTATGGTATCGATACCCTTGCATGGTATCGGTACCCATTTTGCATTCGATGTTTTGAGCCTTCATGGTAGTATCGGTACGACCTTGATGGTATCGGTACTACCTTTGTCTAAGGTACCGATACTACATGTAGGGTATCGATACTACATTATCACTACTACTTGTATTTTTTTTGCTCAATTCATCTTTTAAATGGACTTTGATTTATTTTTGAAATCTTTTAAAACTTTGAATAAATTCAATTCAAGTCCAAAAACATTTTACAATAAATTGTTATATCAAAATATAGTTCTACAAATCTTCATATAACCGAGGAAATTTTCTTGAACTCGTGAAACAATTAGCCTCTTATAATAAAGATGTTGAAAAAGTTGTATTAAAAAATACTCCAAAAAATGCTTCTTACATTTCGCCTGAGATACAAAAGGAGATTTTACATATTCTGGCAGAGAAACTTAAGAGAGCAATTCATAAAGAAATTAGTTAAGAAATATTTTGTGTTATTATTGATGAAGCATGGGATGTATCAAGAAAACAATAAATGGCTATTATTTTACGACATGTTGATAATTTCAGTCTAGTAAAGGAATGTTTTTTAGCATTATTCATGTTCCTAATACTTTAGCAGTGACTTTAAAAGATGATATATTTTCTGTTCTTTCTCGTTATTGCTTTGACATAAAGAATATTCGAGGCCAATGTTATGACGGTGCAAGTAACATGCAAGGAAAGTGGAATGGGTTACAAGCATTAGTTAGCAATGAGTGTCCTTTTGCTTACTATGTGCATTGTTTTGCCCATTGTTTACTGTTGGCACTAGTAGCTGCAGCGAAAGAGGTCATTCATGTTTATCAACTTTTCTCCAAGTTATCTTTTTATTATCAATGTCTTGCCTCATATAAGCGCATTGATGAACTAAAAAAATACTTATTCTGACGAGATAAATCATTTGATTGAAGAATAACAACTTGAAACTGGAACTGGTTTGAATCAAACAAGTATTTTGCAGAGGGCAGGTGATACTCGATGGGGTTCTTACTTGATATCAATTTCAAGGTTGATAAAAATGTTTAGTGCCACTTGTGTCGTTCTATATAAACTCATTGATGAAGGAAGTACATCTTCTGAACGTGGAGAAGCGGCGACAGCTTTAGAGACTTTGACTTCCTTTGATTTTGTCTTCATTTTACATCTTATTAAGAAAATATTAGAAATCACTAATTCACTTTCTTAATCATTACAACGAAAATATCAGGATATTTTGAATTCACTACATCTTGTTAAGAGTTCAAAGATACTTTTACAGAAATTTAGAGATGATGGATGGAATAATCTTTTTATTGTAGGTTACCTCATTTTGTGAAAGTCGCAACATATATATCCCATATATGAGTTTTATTTATAGAGAAAGAGAAGGTCACGCTCGTCGCCAACAAGATCATTTTACAATTGAACAACATTATCGAGTAGAAATTTTTTATCCTACAGTTGATGTTCAACCACAAGAGTTAAATAATAGATTTAATTAGAAGTCGATAGAGTTATTAACTCTTGGTTGTGCTTTGGAGCTGAGAGATGGTGACAAATTTTTCAAGGTTGAAGACGTTTGCAATCTTGTGAATAAATTTTATCTGGAAGATTTCACGGAAGTTGAAAAGAATGATTTACAAACATAATTGTGTCATTATGAGGTGGACTTATCTTGGAATTCAGATCTAAGAAAATTGTTGACAATCTCTTACCTAACTCGGTGGTTGGTGGATACTAGAAAAGTGAACACTTATCCATATATATTCCGAACGGTAAAAAATCTATTGACTCTCCCAGTTTCTACAGCAAGTGTTGAAAGAGTTTTTTCTAGAATGAATTTCATCAAGACAACACTTCGCAACAAATGGAGGATGAATTTTTTGAGAGTTTCATGCTTATCAACATTGAAAGAGATATTGCAAGGAGCTTTAGTACAACATCACTCGTAGATGCATTTCGAGATTTGAAGGAACGACACGCTTTATTGTGATTATGTGATAATTATGTCTTTTGCATTTTTTAAAATCGTATTTTTTATTTTTTACTTTACTTTAAATTAATTTTTAATTTGTTATTTCATATAAATATAGAACTATGCATATTTGATGTTATCATTTATATTTTTTGAAATAAAGAAATAATAAAGGTAAAATTATATATATAACTTAAAGCTGTTAAAAAGATTCGGCCTCTATTGAGATCTAGTTCTGGCTCTGTCCCTGTACAAACCACAACAATTCTAAGCAATCTTCTACAAAAATAACTAACGGTTGTTGACGTGGTTGTCTTATCAAAATGACATCACTTTGATTAAGAAATTTTCTTATAATCTTGGGGTTGAAAAATCCGAACTCCAGACCTCTAAAAAGATAATATGGAGCTTAGCCAACTTGATTTTCTATATGTTATTATAAGAATAATAGACATGTAATATATTTGAGAACGCATTTTCTCATCATCTCCGACGTCTTCTATTGACACTATCGATGATCCGCCGACGTAAAACTCTCCCAAACGTATAAATAATTTGCAACTATACACACAAAGGAAATTCAAAGAACAATTATAAATTGAATTACAAGTCCTCCTTTTATGTCAGTTGTCTTCAGTTTTTATTTTTAAATTCGCCTACTTTATTCCTCATTGTGCCAACTTTCTTTTATGGGAATTCCGTTTTCTTCATCTCCTCCAACTACAGTGCAGCGGAAATAACAGAGAAGAAGCACCGCTGCGGATGAAAAGTCGAGTTGAAGTGGACTTGGCAGCGAGGAAGCAGTAGGAAAAGGCGTGGGGTGGTTGGGTCTTTTGGAATGAAAAGAAAGGAAACGAAGGGCGTTTTGAATCGGAGTGGCCGGTGTTAGAGCAGCAGCAACAATTTTTGCACCACTCTTCGGTTTGCTTTGCTTGGATTGGGCTCTTTGTTAACACTGTCGTGATTTCGATCTTACCTGCATAAATTTCATTTTTTATCTCCTCTTTATCACAAACAGACGATGTAGGCATCTGAATGGATACCATAAATTATTGTATTAGGTGATTTGGACATGTTGGAAAATATGTTTCAAATATATTATATGTTTATTATTTTTACGATAAGATATAAAAATTCTTGATTTGGTGGCTAAGTTCTGGTCTCATTTTAGAGGTTTGGAGTTTTGAATTTCTCTAAACACATAATTGTTCGAATTCCTCCGAACACATAATTATAAAAAAAATTAATAAAAAAAAAGTCGTTTGGGGTCTTCTGGGAATCAAAATAACTACACCAAAACGAGTCATTTTGGTCAGACAATCACGTCAGAAACCGTTAATAATCTATTGGTGAGTAACTATCATGTTACCATCCCATTAAATCATTAACGGTAGAATGACATAATTGAACGTAATTTATTCAAAATAAAATAATTATCTATGATATATTATAATGTTAGTTTTTCATATAATTACATTCTTTAATCATTATAAAAACTACGATCATAAATCACAAAATTAATCGGAAAAGAAAAATAATTTAAATAAAAGAATTAGCATGATAAAGCAAAATTACCCTCAGAAAAGCTTCTTTCTTCTTAAACTTATATATATATATATATATATATATATATATATATATATATATATATATATATATATATATATACACGACTTAAGAGTCACCTTTGTCCCTGTAGTAGACCAAATTTATTATTTTTATCCCTATTGCATTTTCGCATTAATTTAACCCTCAAAGTTATTTAATTGCATCATTATATGCCCTTCCCCTAACTTAAAACTCTAAATTATAAATCATAAGTTAGTGTTTAAAGGTAATGGGGTTATGATTTAAGGTTTAAGGGTTTTAAGTTAAGAGTATAGTTATAAAATAATACAATTGAATAATTTCGAGGGCTAAATTGATACTAAAATACGATAAGGATAAAAATAATAAATTAAATCTATTACAGGAATAAAAGTTATCCTTCTATCCCTCTCTCTATATATATATTGGTTGTCATCCCCTTTTGCCCCTCTCTCTCTATATATATATATATATAGGTTGCCGTCCCCTTTTGCCCCTCTCTCTCTCTTTATATATATTGGTTGCCGTCCCCTTTTGCCCCTCTCTCTCTCTATATATATATTGGTTGCCGTCCAATTCTCCAAGACTTTGTTCTGATTCACCGGTCCTAATTTCACATCCAACTTTGATAAGTGAATCTTCCAAGAAATTTTTTTGCATATTTATCGACGAGGAACCTAGCTTTGGCCTTTTTATAATTATAAACAAATTATATATATGATAAGATATAGGGAGAGTCACTAGTAATTTGTGGTGCATGTTTTCCGTTCCATGGAAGCAGCTAGTAGATGATAAATTATTACAATAAAATGTTCACACACGGAACTATAATTTGTAGCTGGTACGTTGAACCATTGATAATCACTCTGTTGGTTTTACAGCTTGCTGGATGGAGTTCCAACTGGTTTTTCTCTTGATCTCTTTTCAACCACCCGAGACAACCGCTTGACTTCCTCTTTTGGTAGACGGCGCGGCCGGTACAGCCAACTTCCTCCATCAACCACAAGGGTGGTCCCATTCACATATTTACCTTCAAGATTCACATAAATTATGAATTAATAATAGCTCAAAATTTGCTGAGTCAAACATTAAAGCTGGAAAAACAATGGCAATCAAGGGAAAATGTTTGCTACTCTTCCTATCAGTTCAAAAATAGTGTATTTCATAGATGTTTATTTGTTGGTAATGGCAGGGATCAACAAGACTCACCCGCATCTGAAACAAGGTAAACTGCTGCCATAGCGATATCCCATTTGTCCCCTATGTGAAACGAAGGCAATTGCTCTCGAGCTTGGGTTTTAATCTCGTAAGGTGCGAGTTTACTCAAGCCAGGAGTATCTGCAATAGGGCCTGGGGCAATACCATTGACTCGGATATCGTAGTCGGTTCCCCACTCGAGTGCCAAGCTTCTAGTGATGCTATCAACGGCTGCCTAACAAAAAGTAACACTGCAATTAAGCACTAACTCAAGAACGAGATCGTGGTTGCACGGACATCAGAAGAAGAAAATTAGCACACCAAACCTTGGCTGCAGAGACATGTATTTGGTACCAAGAAGCTGTGTAATGTAAAGTAGCACTGATATTCAAGATTGATCCACCACTCGTTGAGTCCCTTCCATGTCCTCCCTTTCTGAGATACCCAAGTGCTTCGTGGCACATTGTAAATGTACCAACAGAATCAATATCCATAACTGCATTTAGGAAAAGAGAAAATGTTAAAGCTTCAAAATGCAGGTATTTAACGGCAAAGATCGAAGTCAAACTTAAATATTGCTATCATTTATAGACAGAATGATTAAAGATTAGATGACACTGAACACCTCAAATGGTATTGAGAAGGCAGAAAGTACCTGTTCGAAACCCGTTAGGGGACAAATCCTCAGCATTCACAAGAAAGTTGCCAGCAGCAGCATTCACAAGAACGTCGATCCGGCCAAAATGCTTGAAAGTTGATTCAATCACTCTTTTCGCATCTTCCGGTTTGCGAACATCCCCCTCAAAGCCAACAGCCTTAAAAAACAATAGCAAGCAAATACAATGTCAGATGATCTTCTGTAGAAAGTAGAAAATCCCCAAAAAAAACAAAGCATATCAAACAATTAATGGATCAATAACCAGCACAAAAAAGAAGCAACTGCTTCAGCTGAATGAATTTATCACAAAAAAACTTAATGATCCGTTTGGGAACTTGGATTTCATTTTATATGTATATGGTAAGAGTTAAACGCATATATTATGCATAAAAAATTAAGATTCAATATAACGTATAGTTAAAAAGAATAAAAAAAATGGATTTATCAAATTCAAATTTATATTAGGATTTTCAAAATGACCACGAAATAGGCATCTAACAAATCCATGGTTTGGAAAATATCACAAATGCTACATTTTTTAAGTATTTTATTAGTCATTTATACTATCTCTGAAATCTAAACCCAAATTTTAAAATCCAAGTTCCCAACCACTAAGGCGCTAACTAAAGATGATGCAACAAAGTAAACATCAAGCAGCCACACAATTTTACAGTTAATTCTAAATATCTCAGTGCAAGCATTGTCTAGAGGACCTGCCGATTAACTTTTCTTCTTTAACTATTGATCGCACTGATTGAGACTAGCAATTTTATCAACAACCCAAAAAACCACAAATTGGCCCCTAAAAGAAAATGAAATCAACAAAGCATGTAATAACAGAGAAGAATAAGAAAAATATTATCTCGGGAATTAATGGAGTATAGCTGAATGTGTGTACATATAAAGGTAGCATGTGCTTAACTTTAAGCTATGATAAAGAACAAAGTGGTAACGAATTAATGAGATGAATCAAGGAGAGAATACTAACAAAGATGGCACCAACTTCAAATGAAGACCGACCACGCTAACAAAGCATAAAATACATGTTTCAAGTACTATTACTCTGTTCCCAAAGACAGGTCTGATAAAATATACACCGGACTCATTTAAACGTCCAAATGGGCTTTTCCTTTCTTACGAAATGTGGGATTAATACATTATATCGAATTCTCTAGAATGCTTGGTAAGAAACACGTTTTCTCGAGGCATACTCAATGGTCTGGCTTGAATTCACCCTGCTTTCTGCTTTCTTTTTCAAAATTTCGTTGGGTATTAAAAGGGAATGTTTTTGTTAGAGGAACCGGTTCAAACAGCTGCTTCTGCATGTTGTTTGTATTGTCAATGACTAAGAAAGATTTTAAACAAATTGCGAATGCGGCCGCATTTTAGGTCGCGTTACGTTTAAATCGGTTGCGAATATAATTGATACTATTGTGGTCATTGCAGATATAACAAATGTTATTACGGTCATTGCGGATATTAAATTTTTTCCAAATGAGTTATTTAAAATAAAAAAAATTGTTTTTTCAACAACAAAAAAATGAAATAACGGAATAACAGTTCTCTGCAATAGATTGCAGCGATTGGCCGCCATCCGTTAAATTGTGGCCACGATCTACCACTATTGGTATGATTATGCTTTCACACCACTATTTTCCACGAAAATGATACTGGCACAGCAGCTATACCACTATTTATATATATATCTACTTACACAATATAAAACTATTTTAATTTTTAATTTTCCACTTATTTATAAATATTAGATGACTGAAAATAAATGAAGGGACAAAATTAACTTTTTTTTCTAATAATATCTTCTCATTCTTAATCTCAATCATATATATATATATATATATATATATTAAAACTTACAAGAAAAGCTAAAATTGGAATCAATTTAGATTAAAACAAAGTTCCCAAAAGAACATGAACAAAATTAATCCGAAGATGTTGATGTTAAATCCCGAAGAAGGAAGGGTTGATACTTATGGGATCAGAGAGATTGTGCAACTCAAGATTAGATATAAACTATCAATTGAATTCACACAAGAAAAGCCTTGGTATGATGCATGCAAATATGATAAAAAGGAAAGAATCTGAAGTAAACAGGCGATGGAAATTTACATGAATCCCAAGGGATTGAAGAGCAGAGACGGCAGCTTGAAGGACTTGTTTGCGTCGACCCATGATAGCAACGGATGCTCCATGTTTTCCGAACTGAGTAGAGATCTCGAAACCAATGCCTGAGCCTCCCCCTGTAATCAAACCCACTTTCCCTTTCAAAATCTCTGCTTTGAACGGTGACTCCATCGCCGTTCCTCTTCCCTCTCAGAATTCAGACGGGACCTTGTGGTAAAAGGCAAAAATGAAAGGACAGCAAACACGGATTGGTCCACCAAACACTAAAAGTTTGAAGGTGTGGACTCCATGATTCCAAGTCGATGATTCCTATCTCCCACGTTTATCGTTTTCTCTTTGTTTAAAAGAGTATATTCTTAAATGGAAAATTCTAGAATGGAGGTCATTTATATTTTTAGAAATCACTAATTTTAAAATTTATAAACAGTCATTAAATTATGTTAAAATTATCTTTTTTAATATTTAATTTTTAAATATTTAATTTTTAAAAGTTACATAATAAATATTAAATTTAATTTTGTAACAAAATGGACACAAAATTATTAAGAAATATCTCACTTGACTCTTCAATTATAACTAAAATTTCATTTTATTCTTTATTTTAATTGAAATATTTTTTCTTAGGTTCGTTGAATTGAAAATAAAATTAATATAGATAAAAATAAATATCACCTTTTAATTATAAATATTGAATTTGTACCATATAAATTAAAAATTATTTTATACAATATTATAATATTATGGATGTATAATTTTTAAATTACATTTAAATTTTATAAATAAAAATTTATGCTTAAATAACATCATTAATAAAAATAATAATTTTATTATTTGATAATATAAATTTTTGGATATATAAAAATTATAAATTTTTTATTTTACAAATACAACAACAATTAAATAAATAATTAGTTATCAAATAATTTCTGCTTAATAAAAAAATTAATTTCATTTTTTGATAAATGAATTTTTTTTAAATATTTTTAAAATTTTAAAAAATAATTTATTTTCATATATTTTTAAAATATTCTAAAATTTCTATTTTTTAGAATTGTTACTTAAAAATATTGACAAATATTAAAATGAAATTTTAGTTATAATTGAGGGGCTAAATAAGATATTTTTTTATTAATTTAGTATGTTATGTCACCCCTTCATAACATTTAACTATTGTTATTTATTCATTTTAAACAAAGTTCAAAGTTTAATGTCTATTTTGTAACTTTTAAAAATTCAATGATAAATAAAATCAAATTTAAAAAATTTTGTGATAACTAAAATTATAATCTTAGTTTGAATATAAACTTTAGTTTGAAAAAATAAAATAAAATAAAATATTTTTATGATTTTATACAACATATTTTTAATATCAGACATTATTCGATTTGAAATTTTAGATAAATAAAATTATAATATGAGTTTGAATATAAACTTTAATTTGAAAAAATAAAATAAAATTTAATATTTGTAAGATTTTATACAGCATATTTTATACAGTTACTATATATATTTATCAAAATATACTTGAATAATTTTAAGATAAATTTTTTATGTGTCTCAAGTATTTGAAAAAATAATCTAAAATTGAAAAATAAATAATCAATAATCAATAAAGAAGAATATACAAAAAATAAAAAATAAAAATAAAACTCATTTCAATGCAAACTTAGGGTAATTTCAAAATATAGTAATTGAATTGTAAATATTTTGATTATTCAATTTATGTCATATGTTAAGCTTGATATCCGCTACTAATAATCATTAATTTTTTATTATTAATTATAATTAATTTTCACAAGATATTTAAATTTATAAATCTAATTAACAAAAAAAATATCATTAAAAAAATTATAGTTATTCGGATATCCAATTCAATTCAATTTTCAATTTAATCACTAGACATAAGATATAAACACAAAATAGATTTCGAAGATTGATTAGAGGCCACGAAGTAATGCAAGGCAAAAATGGGTACATGAAGACATTGTCAAATAAGGTTCAAGGCTACGCAGGCTAAGGGTGAGTTGGTAAATGATCACGTGAGGCAGTCTTAATATACAACTAAAATAAGGTGTTATCGGTTTTGTTATTATTTAAATAATAAAATCGGTAAAAAAATTACCAGAAATATTATTATTTCTACCGATTTTGTTATTTTTTTCTACCGGTTTTGTTATTGTTGGGCACTTTACCGGAAATGTTAAAAAAACATTGATGTTTTAAGTAGAAATAATAATGTTTTAGGTAATTGTTTACCGATTTTGTTATTTAAATAATAACAAAAACAGTAACGCCTTTTTTTAGTTGTATATTAAGGGTGTCGCACTGTAGAACTTCTCGGGGTGAGTTGGGTGGTTGGGATTGGGTAAAAAAATTAGGACGTGTTTGTGTTCCGTTCATTAAATGTAAGATTATTTTTAAAATTAAGATTATTGAAATGTAATATTACATTTGAATATTATCTTATTTGGTTTGTTTAATATGAATGTAAGATTATAGTGTTTAATTAGAAGAATATAAATTATTTGGATGCACATTTTATCAAATTATCATTGTGAGAAATTTTTTTAACAAGTTAAACTTTAACATTAAATTATAAATACTTGAATAAAAATTCATAAAAATACTTTAATTGTTATATTATCTAACTTTTGAGAAAAATATATTTAATACATAATTAATAAAATTAATTTATATTTACCTAAAAAATATAATTATATCGAACTTAATAATTTTCATAAGTATCATTTTTATTTTTATAAAATATGATATAATATGAAAAAACATTATTTTGGTATGAAGTTAACAACGATATTGTTTTTAATGTATAAGACATTTTTTTTAATAATTCAAACTTAGATATATTTTAAATAATTATATTTTTATAATAATATCATTTTCCTCTTGTAATTATAAATTTTGTCCAAGCCTAATACTTAGATCCAGATCTATTGCACAACCCAAAACCTAAAGGAAAATCCTAGCCCATTTTTTTTTTTAAAAAAAAACTAACATAATTCCACTCCTAGGAGGACTCCACCACTACCTTATCCCATCAAATCCAATATCCTACTAAACTCAACTTCCCCGAGAATCCCATAAAATCCAGACTTTCACCATCAGATTTTTGCTCTCATACATCCCTATTTAAAACCATCTTCACACCTTGCAGGAAAAATTCCGGGGAAAAAATGCAAAAAGCACGAATTTTTAAGAAGATAAATCTACGAAAAGAGAGAAAACGTTTCAAGAATTAATAGAAGTAAAACGCCAAAGCATCAAGACGGCAAGCGAGCCTTCAAATCTCGGACGAACGAACGTTCAACGACGAATTTCTAGACTTGAAGAAGATAATATGCGTGGCTTCGTTTCTATGGTTGAGTTGGATGATTAAATTCCATGTTGGCTTTGTTTTTTATGGTATGAATTGAAATAATTAAAACCTTAATTACCTTTATTAAGTATGGCATGAAAATTGTGATATATGATTTTGCATTCCCAGGTTAATTCGTTTAGAATAATATGTGATTACATCTTTGCTTGGCTAGCATGATTGAATTTCTTTTTCTTAATTTTGGTTGATATTGTAACCACCCAAAAATTATAAAATAATGTTTAATTGAAATTTGAGGTTAATTATGAAATTTGGTGAAATTTGGGGACTAAATTGGAAGTTCTTTAAACTTGTAGCTTGTTTTAGAGTTAAAGGAAAATTCAGAGACCAAGCCCTGAATTTACCCTAAAATGTTAGGTATTGGTTGTTATATACGTGAATTGGTTTCTGAAAATTAGAAATCAATTCCTCCCAAATATCCCTCTCCCAACATCAACTTCCGACGACGATCTCGACGCCGTCCGAATTCTGATCGCCGTTTTGAAAGCATCATCGTGTTCGTTATCGAGTCAGGAACAATCCCCTCAATTTAATTGAAGCAAAACGCTGCCAAACGTCGTGAATTTTAAGTCAAAGTATCGACTTTTTTTTAGCTCAATCGCCTAGAAAATCCTAAATTCATCGCCGATCGTTGCTCCGTTTACGACACCTCCTGCACCATCGTATTCCTTGTGCCGTTCCGAGTCCGCCGGTGTCATCCTCAGTCTCCGTCGACGGCGGCGCGTGGGGTGGTGGATCAGTCAAAGATTCGGCCGAGTCGAAATCGAGCTCTCCGCCGTTCAAAAATTTGAACCGATCTTTGTAAGTATCTCGAAATCGCTCAAAATAATTTTTAGAAATTTTTCCGTGATTTTTAGAGCCCCGGAGGACGTCGCACGCGCCGCCGCAGGGCGAGTGAAATCTGGAAACCGGTTTAACCGATTTTGAACCGATTTTGATCGGTTTGACCGGTCATGACCCGACCCGTTAACCTGTGCTATTTTGGAAATTAATTCGGTTTTTATGTTATTCTGGGAATTAATTTGAAATAGGTGCTATTTTGGTAATTTTGTTTCGAAAAAGGTGATATTCTGGGAATTAATTTGAAATTGATGCTATTTTGGGAATTAATTCTTAAAGGGTGCTATTTTGGTAATTATTTTAAAAAGGATGCTATTTGTGTAAAATGTTTGACAATTTGTTGACCTCCTTTGACCAGAACTTTGACCGGCTATTAAACGACCGTTAATCTTTTTCGAAAATACCTATCCTGACAATTTTTGACGTCCCGAATCCATTTTTGAGGTCCGTTTCGCTAAATTCAAACCCGAAAGTCTCCAAATCGTCAGTAAAACCCGTTGACTTTAATTTTTACCGAGAATTCGAAATTTCGGAAGGTCATACTTTCTGTTTTTCGACGTCCTGAATATAATTCCGATGTCCGTTTTGCCAAATTCTGACCCGAAAATCCCGAATCGAGCTTGTAAACCCAAAAGGCTTAATATTTTAATATTTTGATTTTTTAAATGAGATTTGGTCAAGGATTTATTGAATAAAAATATTTTATGAAGGTACTCGTGTTTCACCTGAGCAATGATCAATTAGGTCCGGTGTTATCCGTTCGTTAGATCAACCTGAATCGCGTACTACGAGAATTACCCGTAGGTTTCCGTATATTATTTAAATAATATTTAGATTATTTATATTAGGATTCCAATATGGATTTTTCTAATTCGTAGGATCTAGCGCTGCAGCAGAACGTGATCGACAGACCCAGTAATAGGCTTCCCTATCTGATTTCCCAGACTGTTACAGGTGTGTTTCCTGATAGTGTTATATTATTGTTTTAAAGTATATAAATATTTGAATATTGTGTATATGATTTCTGATTTACTGTATATTTCTGATATGATTTCTGGTTACGGTATTT